CCGGCGTGCCTGCTCCTGCTGTCTGGCAGCCGAGGGCAGGCGGTGTATCGGCACCCGCGTATTTCTGTGGCTTTGGCGTGCACCGATTTCGTATTCCCGCATTCTTTTACGAAATAGTGATTAGGATTTCCCTCCCTCTCCCTTTCCCCTGCCCCCAGCTCCCCCTTCTCTCCACCAGTAACTTAGTTTATTTATATATATGTGTGTGTGTGTATACACATACTTTTAAAACGTAGGGGGGAATGTCGGCAATTTAAAGCAGTACTTGCTAGGGGATAAAAACAACGGACCTGGATAAATAAAATCAGAAATCAATCAAAGTGTGTTTTGAATCTGTAGTTAGTGAGGTTAGATAGTTGTTTCTGATCACCATGTCCTTTATGATATGAGTCTGACTTCAGTCTCATGCTTGGCTTATTGGTTTTACTTCTTCTCGGTTAATAAAATTGGGCTTTTATATTTTCAGCTTCAGGTAGTTTCTCAACTCTGGATGGCCAGGTTCTCAAACTAAATGGGAAAAAATGAAATGCAAAACCTCTTCTCTTTGCAACCACAAGACAACTGTTTAAAGCTGTTTGTTTTCAACAGACTTGAATTTTGGGGGCTTAGCTGGTGAGTGAGTTCTGCCAGTTTGGTAATACCGCTTTCTTAAAGGCAATGTGTGGGAGTTTAGCAAGCAGGAAGTTCAGCAAACTTTCCCAGGCACTGCAAAGATTCTTAGAATTAGCAAAAGAAAAACCCCCAAACCAAAAAACCAACGTTTGGGATGCAGCAGCATTTGGTACCTGTGAAGAATATTCATTCATTGAATATTCATGAAAGACAACTGCAAAGAAAGGCTTTTTCCTTGATATTTACAGCTGTGCTACTTTGCAGTGCTTATGTTGTAAGAATGAATATGCAGGAACTATGGTTGCTAAAATATGTAATTAATGAAAAATAATTACATGTGCTTAAACATGGAGATTAAAATTGGAGGAATGCTTTATGTGTAGTAAATAGACACATTTAAAGTCACACCTCCTTTGTAGGCAACACAACTGCTTTCTCTGTGCTCGTCGAGTTACAATGCTTGGTGCTTCTTCAGTGGAAGAGGGTTTTAAAACATACATGTGTATACATGTAACTTTTGTGGAAAAAGGTTGTGTTTGACTGATTTATGTTGCCTGTGCAGCATGAAAGCAGGAATAGCAAAATGAGAGGACTCAATGATAAAGCATATGCTTTATCAACAGTCTTTATTAACAAGCTCTTGTGATGTTGTTCCTTCATATGGCTGTGTTATGTTCAAATAGAAAATCAGGCAACTCTTAGACTTAAGGTTAACTCTGCTAGCTTGGAGATCAATAGAGGCAAAGTTAATTTATTAATTAATAGTTAAAGTGTAATGGTGCTTACATATTCTTTAGGAAATGTCTCAGGAAATTAATTCTTTTTTATTATATAATGTGGAAAACTTTTTCTTAGTTGCAGGCAACTGTGAATGAGGTGAACACGGGAGTGGTAACAGATTTCTTACTGACTGTGTGAATACTGAGTGGGGAGCACAGGGATGGAGTCTGGCATGGAGGAGATCCCAGTTAAAGTTGCAGTTCGAATCAGACCTCTGCTTTCCAAAGAAGTACTTCATAACCACCAAGTGTGTGTGAGATTAGTCCCAAATACACAACAAATCATCATTGGGAAAGACCGTGTCTTCACTTTTGATTTTGTATTTGGCAAAAACTCAACCCAAGAAGAAGTCTATACTGTTTGCATTAAGCCTCTTCTAGTGTCTTTGACTGAGGGATACAATGCTACAGTGTTTGCGTATGGACAGACAGGTTCCGGGAAGACTTACACCATTGGAAGTGGCCACATTGGTAGGTTGTAGAAAGTTTGGGTTTTTTTTAAACTGCTGAACAATGTATTTGTGCAAGTTAAATATTTAATACATAGCAGATGATGCTGCAGAATTTTTAAGGGCTAATGAAAAAAGGTATAGTAAAAAAAAAATGCTTCCAAAGTTTATGTGATAAACAAACTTCTAAAAACAATTTTTCCATAAATCAGGCTATACCAAAAAAATATCTAAGGAAAAAACCAATTTGTAAAGTGCTCTTTCTTATTCCTCATTTTAACATGCAGCTTAAACTAGAATTTCTTCCTGAAATTCAGTGTTTTGGAGATTCTTGATACATTTATCTTACCTTGAAAATGTCTGCATTAGGCAATTGTTTGCTTGCTCACTCTTTACTTCTTTTTTGAGAGACATTTCTATTGCATCATAGAAATTTATTATTTAAGTCTTCCAAATGGATATAAATAGATTATTCTAAATTTCTTGGGTAGGTATTAAAATCTTCCTTTTATATAGAATCACAGAATCACAGAATCATTTAGGTTGGAAAAGACCCTTAAATTCATTAAGTCCAACCATGGGGAGAGGTTTGTCTGTGGTTGGAGCTCCTGTATCTTGATGTGTACAGCTCCATGGGGTGAGCAGCAGGGACCCCAAGGACTTGTTTTGTTGCTGCTGCACATAGAATCGTAGAATCCAACTGTTAACCTAACACTGCCAAGTCCACCACTAAACCATGTCCCTAAGCGCCACATCTATCCATCTTTTACCCCTCCAGGGATGGGGACTCAACCACTTCTCTGTACAGCCTCTTCCAATGCTTGACAACTCTTTTGGTGAAGAAATTTTTCCTGATGTCCAATCTAAACCTCCCCTGACGCAACTTGAGGCCATTTCCCCTCGTCCTATCACTTGCCACCAGGGAGAAGAGGCCGACCGCCACCTCGCTACAGCCTCCTGTCAGGCAGTTGTAGAGGGCGATAAGGTCTCCCCTCAGCCTCCTCTTCTCCAGGCTAAACAGCCCCAATTCCCTCAGCCACTCCTCATCAGACTTGTGCTCCAGACCTCTCACCAGCTTCCTTGCCCTTTTCTGGACATGTTCCAGTGCCTCAATGTCCTTGTAGTGAGGGGCCCAGAACTGAACACAGTATTGGAGGTGCAGCCTCACCAGTGCTGAGCACAGGGTCACGATCACTGCCCTGCTCCTGCTGGCCACACTATTCCCGATACAAGCCAGGATGCTGTTGGCCCTCTTGGCCAACTGGGCACACTGCTGGCTCACATTTAGTCGGCTGTCGACCAACACCCCCTCTCCAGCTGCCTGTAGCGTTGCATGGGGTTGTTGTGACCCAAGTGCAGCTCCCAGCACTTAATCTTGTTGAGCCTCATACAACTGGCCTCTTAATTCTGCTTACTGTTGTAACTTCACTTGTCTTTCCTCTAGTATTAATTGAATGTTTTTGTAAGTACCCTTGTTAGCCAAATTCTTTGGGTAATAGGTATCACAATATAAGGCTGTTCATAGCTCAGCAATTTTGGTTTTATGAATATATTTACTAAATGTATAGTTAGATGTGAGCAACCCTTTATTTTTTTTTTATAAAAAAGATTCTTGGTATCCTCTTATAGACCAACAGTTAGTTTCCACATTCTTGAATAAAGAACACAAATTATTTATGGAAGCATTGTCCAATGCTGAATATTAAAAAAAAATAAAAACCGAGTTTGGCATTAGTGTTCCATATCTACTTTGAAAAAATAGGGAAATAGTGTAAATGTTGGTCATAAATCCCGTCTCACTAAGTTACTAATGGTCTGTGCTGTATTTAAGTGGAAGATTCTCAAACCCTTGTGATGTTTTTGCCAACCATGAGTTGGAATAAAGAAGAGATCTATACTCTCAGAAGTATAGATTTAAAGTAGATTCCATATTTTTCATAACTTTCATTACTATAATATTATGTAATTTAGAACTTATCTTTGAATCCTAGTAATGGATGCAAAAAAATACTCTGAACTCCAGAAAAACAAATATTTGCAAAACTCCTTGGGAACACTGAGCTCTTCATACTCCTTAGTATATTGAGTAGCAAATCTCACAGAGTTCTCTCAATCTTCAATCTTTGTAATTTATGTGGCAGAATGACTGCAAGCTTCTGTGACATCTTTGCTTACATTTTAGCATCAGTCGCAGAGGATGAAAAAGGCATAATCCCACGGGCTATTCAGGAATTATTTCAGCACATTTCTGAAAACCATAACATTGACTTCCATGTGAAAGTATCTTATATAGAGGTTTACAAGGAAGAACTTCGAGACCTATTGGAGTTGGAGACCTCTGTGAAAGAATTACATATCCGAGAAGATGAAAAGGGAAATACAGGTAGAATTTCAGCTCTAAAATTTGGTGTGTTTGGTTTCAGTTGTGTGCCCAAGTTATTCTTGCCTTCTCTTGAAAGAGCTTATCCATTACTAATACTAGAAATAAGTTATGTTTTCAGAATGTAAACTCAGTTTAGCTGATTTGAAGCAGTTTCGGGTTTAGATGCCTGTGAACGATATAGATGTTCCATCAGAAATGTCAACAAATTACAAA